GGGCCGGGCGCACATGTTTCAGATGGATCGTCATGGGCAACTCTAATTAGGTAAGTATGCCATAATGACGTCCATTTTGCATGTTCTACGTGGTGTCGGTTTTACCTCTGACACCATACACTACGTTGTACGTTGTACAAACTCCGTTCTTGGTATATACTTCGTGATATTTATCACTCCGTTCCTGGTATATGTCTTTATTATCATCAGTCATGGTATTTGTAATAGCATCTCTGCAATTAATTTTTTATGATCTTAGTACGTATTAGGCGTGACGAAATGATATGTGAAAATTAAATAATGCGTGACAAATAGGGTCACGCAGACCAATCAGATCTACGATTTTGCAGAGTAACATCATTTAAATTGCCGTATAACCATATACTTCGTGATATTTATCACTCCGTTCCTGGTATGATGGCATTTATGCTAGAGACTTTGCTGCCCAAATTAATAAGCTTTATTATTTGAGAAATTATCCCAATTTTGAATTATTATTTATTTGCAAACCAAAAAAGGAAAAAAAAAAAATCTAATAATATCTACTGTAAATATGGAAAATAGCACACATAATTCCGTAAATTTATTTGAAAATCCTATAATATCGCGTAGTTACTTTACATTATGAGTGTTTATTTGTAGAACATAAATTTGTATTATAAATTAAATGATGCAATTAAATTATAGAGTATCAAAAATTTCACCTTTTCTATGACCATAAACTATATAGTTCAATAATCCATGTTCAGTTAAATCTATAAATTTTGTGGCTGGAGGGGTTTTCATATAAATTACCTTAAGACCATAATCTAATTTTATGATTTTCAATAAACCATGATCAACTATATCAATAACTTCTTTAATATTATTATATTCCATGTGCATAATTTTACCACGATTAATTTCAAAGTAATTATGACCCGTCAAATCAACAAAAGATTTTCCAGTAGGAGATTGCACAAATATTCTACCATGTTCAATCCTGAGTGGCCAGTGATCAGTTAAATTGATACACCTCTTGATTTTATTTTTCCCTACATAGATTATTTGACCTGTTTCTATTTGTAAGAAACCGTGTTCAACATAAATATCTATGCTTTCCTTTATATTCAAATTATGTGCACCCAAATAATTAACTTTATCAATTTTATATACAAATTTTCCATTTTCAATATTAAGAAAAAAGATAATTGCAATTAATTTTTTCAAAAATCCAACTTTAACTGGGGTAACAATTGTTGTACCATCATCTTTTTCACTCTCATTAATAGATACAGTTTCAAAATCTCTTAAAACTTCACCATCGTCACTTTGCATTCGGATGCATTCAATTGTTTCGATTATAGATGAATTTTTATCTTCTACCCCCATTAAAAAATCCGCAAAATCATCCTTACTAAAGAATGAAGAAATTGTTCTTGACAAAACCGTACCAAGAAGAAAATTAAACACAGAATCAATAACTGGAAGAGTACACAAGTAAGCGTACGCAAAAAATAATTGAATCTGTGATACGAATAAAGTAATAAAAAATACACGACGAGGAACACCACCAGGTTTACGACGATAATAATACCAAAATAGATAAGTTACTAATGAAAAATTAAGAATGTCAACGGCTAAATTTAACGATTTAATATCAATAAATTTAACCCATGAGGAATGAGAAAATTCGAATTCTTGAGCATCAAAAATATCAAGTACCGTTATAGAAATGACAAAAAACAATAAAACGTACAAAAAAATTCCTCTAAATCTGTAAAGATGCTTTTGTTTGACATTTCTGAAAAAAGAATGTTGGTAATTAAATTTATATACTAAAGCTGCGATTGACCAAACAATAAGCACCCATAATAAAAAGAGAAATGGTAATGCATTATTTAGATAAAAATTTCGGTTAAACATCATTATAAGTTGTCCGATTATATAAAATGGTATTATTGGGGATAATGAAAATGTTAAGATAAAAAAATCGTCAAGAAAAAAGGTACTACGCCACCCGAATTGGGAGTGAATACCATATACTGCAACTGTTATTAATGTCCCTCCATAACTAATAATATTACTAGCTTGAGTTATAAAATCATCATAAATTTCATATTCTGAATAAATTGTTGGTGGGCATGTATAATTCTCGTCAGGATAAGCAAATAAACGGAATTCATAATCACTAGCGTGAGCCATTTGTTAAAGTTTCTAAATGATTTATGGCTCGTAAAAAGTTCAATACAAAAAGGTTATATATATATTGTGTTAATGCATTATTCCGAATTTGATTATACTATATTCTTGAATTTTCTGGTACAGTAATCAATAAACAAAAAAAAAACAGATCACCTGCCAAGAAATCTAGACAAAAGCTCTAAATACATTGGAAGTAAAGATATTAACCATTTTTATCAGTTGATCTTGACTATTAATAACTTTATTCTTTAGGCGACTATATATTAGTAATAATAAATTATGAGTGTTATGAGTGATATTAAATTAGATAATACTTTATAAATTTTACTATGATCAGTTTTAATTCGGCCTCCGTTATTGAATTCGACATAGTGTACATTTTGTATGGTTAGAGTACCGAGATCGACTTATTAATTTTGCCAGGTAATCACATGCAAAAACGTGATTAATCCAAAAAATGCGACATGTCACATACGTATTTTCTGCGACTAGCTGAAAAGGGTTTGAAATAAAACCTGGAATTATTATTTGATGCAACTTTAGCACATCTATGTGCTTTTTTTCGCAAGTAACAAACTCTTAAAAAATAATTAACCAATCAGTAATTCCGAACAACACTGTCATATGGATAGAATTAAAAAAAGTGGTGAAAAACAAGATTTTACGTGAAATAAGTGATAGTTTGTTTTTATATAAAGTCCTAATCCTGAATTTCTTCTGCCTTTATTAACTAAATTTTATTAAATTTTTTAATGCTAGTGTAGCGATTTTAAAAAAAAAAATTTAATCCATAGACATTCATTGATAATTTCAAATAGGTGTAAATCTGTAAGATTTACATTTACTCTGTAGATCTATGGAAATATACCTGTTAAGATTCTACTTCACCTTGGTTCTAATGATGTCAGAATTAAATCACTTTTTAGTTTGTGCTCCGAACGAATTATAGCCCAACCCGAATTTGCTCTATACAGGTAACTTGGGTAAAAAAAACATTTTTTTTTTTAGACTCCGCATAAGCAGCACATGTCTAAACGGTGAAAATGTTTTTTCTGACATCCCAACTTGAGGGGTGGTTGTTTTTTAAATTATATTTTAATAATTTCGTTCCGAATGTTTTCATTATAGAACACCCCAAACCCGACCTGAACTTTTGGATTGGTCGAATCTGTATTATTTCACCGAAGATCACTTCGACAATTTAGTTCACCGACGATTAGTTTACAGACAAACTTGTTTTATCGACGATTAATTCATAGACAGGATCATTTCATTTCACAGAAAAAGAAAATTTAATTCATCAACAGCTCATTTTACTGACAAGTCTTTTTTTTTAAATTCACTAACCTTAATTCTAATTTTAAGGCTCGGGATAAAGGTTATAGATGAAATGAACATTTGTATGAATTAATTGTCAGTAAAATAAGCTTATCTGTAAATTTATCGAAAGCTTAATCGCACGGGTATAAATGTAAATCACATGTTTTTCATATCCGTTATTTTCACAAAAAGCTAAGGCAAAATTCATTTTTTACTAAGAACTATGTAACTATAGATATTATTTTAAAATTCTCATTTTTAGACGAAGACTAATATATGTATTAATCGAGTAGTTTTTTTAAAAAAATTATTATTGCCTACAAGACTAATATTATGTCGGGTAGTTTTTAAAATTCTTATTTGCTTAGTGTTTTTTAAAATTTTTATTTGTTAAGTGAATGTTAATCTTAGATTGAATAATTTTTTTTCTAGTCCTTATTGGCTGGTCGAAGAAAATATTAGATCACAGTTTTTTAAAATCTTATTTGCCGGACGAGAATTTTATGAATTCGAATATAAACTATTGACTTTTTTTGTAATTTAAAAAAATGATATTTATTTCTAAATAAAAAATTCATTTACAATGTTTTCCTTTCTTTATTTATGATTTTGAAATGTTTCAATATTTCAACAATCAAGTGGTTTCTTTGAAACGAAAAACTAAGCCCAAGTGTATCAAAAGTTTTATGTGCAAGGAATAACAAAAGGTAATTATAAGTTTAAATAATTAAATAAATTATTTAAAAGAAGCGACGCACGGGTTGTTACGTCAGACCCGTACGATAATAACTATAACTAATTGAGTTGTTGGTGAAGTAATTGCCGATGAATTCACAGAACTACTACTTTTATGATTTACCTTTGTATAACTACAAGATAGGCGTAAATTTTACTTATTTTATTTTAAAAATTTCATTCAATTATCTATTATTATTATTGTGGTTAAGAAAGAAAGCAATTCAACATGAATTTAACTTTAGATATCTACATTTCCGAAGTTTCTTGGTGTCAGCCTATATCATATAGAATTTATGGTCAAATTCCCAAATTTTATGAGATTTTTAAAATCGCTTATTCTATAAGCTTCGTATTTCTAAAGAATATTCCATTTTTACCATTTTTGACATGCCGAAATGTTTCAGTCAGACTGGATGTCGGAAGTCCTACCGAAAGTTGAATGTATTACCGAAGTAAAAAGTTTATTGCAACTTACATCTGGGTTCTAGATTTTATTGGCCATAATTAGTTCCTTAAAAACAAAAATAAATGATATCTAAGTAATTGTTTTTTTTTAAAAAAAAGATAAATAAGCATATGATTTCTTTTTGTGTTTTAAAAATAAAAGAATGTTTGTAATAATAGCATTTGATCTGAATATCTGTTTATCTCATCAATTAATATCAATATAATTTGGTACTCTAGAAATAATTATCCCTATTTTCTTTTATTTTAAAATTGGTAAGATCATTTATTTATTTGACAACTCTTTCCAAGATTATTAATGCTAACTTAGACCAAAATGATTACGTATACATTAGATCACATTCTTTGACAACCATTTTCATTGAATAATCGTCGGTAAATATACCTTGTTGATATATATACTTCCATACTTCCATTATAAATGTCAGGAACATAGTGATATAAATCAAAAATATAAATACAGTATACAGATATAGTGATACAGCGTATACTAGGATCGTAGATTTTTTTTTACCAAATTTCCGGGTCGGATCCATCGGATTTAGGCCGACATTTAGTAATTACAAGTCAATCCTTCTCGGCCAAAATTATCAGCTGGGCAAAATTGTTTAATTCCGACCCTACCGATCATGATTCCGAGGTATTACGACCCGAAATTTCGGTGACCCTGTACGAGTTGTTTTTTATGCATGTAAAGAAAATAGTTTTTTTCTAAAAAATGAAAAACCAAAAACTTCATAAAAGATCGCTAGAACATATCATTTGAATTTTTATGTCCCCCGTACATTATTTTCTTCTCGATGGATCTTTTACAGGAGTGATGAATTGATTGATAATTAGTATTTGTAGTGACACCATCGAACCAGCGTCGGCGTTTCGGTCGTTTCTCAAACGGATACGTCGTGTAACCTACGAACGGCTTAGTCGATAAGAGGCGGTTAGATTTGGCGATTGGTGTGTTTATGATCGTAGGTTTTACAAGGTAGCGAAGGCCAGGTAATTATGAGGGTCAAACTTCATTACAAGCACGAACTCTGCATACTTTCTTCAGAGGGCTCGAAGCCTTTATTATAT